TTTCTCCTCTGTCCTGGATTATTTTTCCTCTGTCCTGGATTATTTTTCCTCTGTCCTGGATTATTTTTCCTCTGTCCTGGATTATATTACTCCTGTCCTGGATTATATTACCTCTGTCCTGGATTATTTCACCTCTGTCCTGGATTATTTCACCTCTGTCCTGGATTATATTACCTCTGTCCTGGATTATATTACTCCTGTCCTGGATTATATTACTCCTGTCCTGGATTATTTCACCTCTGTCCTGGATTATATTACTCCTGTCCTGGATTATATTACCTCTGTCTTGGATTATATACTACTGTCCTGGATTATATTACCTCTGTCCTGGATTATATACTACTGTCCTGGATTATTTCACCTCTGTCCTGGATTATATTACCTCCGTCCTGGATTATATTACTACTGTCCTGGATTATTTCACCTCTGTCCTGGATTATATTACTCCTGTCCTGGATTATATTACTACCTCTGTCCTGGATTATTTCACCTCTGTCCTGGATTATATTACTCCTGTCCTGGATTATTTCACCTCTGTCCTGGATNGTCTGGACACTGTTAGAGGGACAGAGTCTGAAGGACCTGGTGGGACATGAGTTCCTGCTTTTAGGGCGACTGCTGAAAACAAGTCCTGTTAAAAAAACAAAGCCGACCCAAACATCCTGAGTTTCCATGGTAACCCTCTACACCCTGTTTCCTGTCCGAGGTCCAACGTGTCCTGCAGAGACACCTGAACAATGTCCAGCACCTGTGGACCTGACCGAGACCAGGACCTGAGGAGGAGGATCACAGCAGCAGCTTGGATCCAGCACTGAAGTCCAATCTCTTGATCAACCTGTGAAGACAAACAGAAGCTCTGAATCTGAGGTCCTGCAGCAGGTTCTGACCCGCTGACCCGTAGAACCCAGCTCCTCACCCCTTGTTGTAGAGACCGTTGGTGGGGTGGTTCTCTGAGGGGGGGTTCTGACCCGCCGACCCCGATCCTCTGAGGAGACCTCTGCGGTTGGCCGTCTGCTCCTGGACGTATTCCCGACACGACGCCAGCTTGGACTCCAGGCTCTGAGGAGAACACGGGTCAGAATCCAGAACCAGCAGAACTGTCAGCACCAGAAACATCAGGACCAGCAGAACTAGGTTCTCACCCCGACTTTCCTCAGCAGCTCTCCGACGATGTTCAGGGCAGAGATCCGGGTCGAGGTGGTGAGGGGAGACCCGGGTGGGTTTCCAGCTGAGAGACAGAACACAGTGAGGACCTGCAGCTGGACCGGGTTCTGACAGCTGAAGGTGGTTCTGGTTCTGAGAACAACAGGAAGCTGCAGAGACTGACCTCGGCTGATGGACGGAGGCGGCGAGATGAAGACCGAGGAGGAGGAGGCTACAGGTCTGCACGGAGTGGAGGGGGGAGGAGGGGGGGCAGTTTTATCTTCTGGACCTCTGTCTGGGG